AGCAGGTGACCCAGGCAGGCTGGAGCCTGGCCAGTGGGGAGGTTCTCTGCCATGTGGGTTGCAGCAAAAAGCACAAAACACTTTCCTATATACATCACATTCTTCCATGTGCACACATATCCTTTATCCAGCTACAGAAATACATTTTAGCCCTCTGTATACTTTGGAAGAAGTGGGTGGAAAACCCGGTGCTTCTTCACACCAAGCTCAGAAATATCCCCAGTGGACTTAGGGCCCCTGTTCACTACAGATTTTGAAGGACTTGAGGAAACCTGAACAGTTATTTCTTCTGAGTTGCACACAGGGACGCAAACAAACATGCTGTCACCTAGTAGGGTTTGAGATCAGAAGTGTGTGCCCAGAAATCTGTATACTTAATATGAATTAATTAAGCTAAAATAGATCTGTGCTATTTTTCAGTTACATACATCAGGATTTTATGTTCTGTCTCCCCGTAGACTGTGTCACAGACAACCCAGGTCACTAAGAGCTGGGCCATTTAGCAGTCTAATAAAACTTGACACCAATCCTTATGTAATTGGTGCCCACTGATTGACAACTAATAATAAGCTCTTCCTCTCCTTTTTCCCAAATCTTGTTCTACTTATTCCATAGCGAGAAAACTTATTAACACACTCCTATGAGCTCAGACCAACTTCAGTTCATTCCAGATATGCTTCTCTTAGTGTGGAGTCAACCTGGGGCCTCACACACGGCCTTTGGTCTAGGTTCCCATGCAGTTAGGAGGGTGTTTTAGTCATGAAGGGGGCATTGCCCAAAGGAAGCAGTTCAGGTTCAGCCAACCATATGACTCTTTTTTGTTTCTTTTAGATTTTTGACCACCAGTCAGTTCTTCCCTCATATCCCTTAGTTACTTATTTATTCTTTACTCTCTATGAAGGGGCATTCATTTCTCAACAGGAGTTTCCAGGTTTGGATAAGCTAAGTCCTGCATGTTCAGGCACCAGCACCCCACGGGGAAATGTTCTGGCATCCCATAGCCCCATGAGTCCGGAGAGCATCAAGATGACCCATCGGCACAGGTATGGCCTTAGGGCTGGGGAGGGTTCCCTCTGGAGAGGTGAGTCTAAATTGTCAAGGGTCGGACAAAAGAGTCCTTGTGTATACTCATATTCCCTCTTACCCATGCACACAGCAAACACTTATGTGGCTCCTGCCATAGGACCCACACCCTGCATTCAGTCAGTCACTATCCTGGTTAAGGGAAGTGTATACATGATATTGTGGCAGCATGGAGGAGGGGGCATTTGGGGAAGTCTTGAAGGATAAATAGATGTTTGCTAGGGGTTAGGAGGGTGATAGGGCAAGATCTAGGCAAATTGACTGACACATGCAGAAGCCTCAAGATATGAACAAGCCAGCCTGGTCAGCACTCTGAGTAGAGTCAAGTGGCTGGAGTGCAGGATTCCAGGGCATGGAAAAGGGGATAGGACCAACTCTGAATGGGCCTTGTTCATGCAGGCCTTTGGACTTGATCCCAAGGAGAATGAGGATCACCAAGTCAGTTTTAAGGAAGAAACAGCATAGTGACGTGAACATCAAAGACTGGTTTGCCTGGGCTCAACTGAGAATACTGAAAGTCTCTAGGCCAGGAAGGCCAGGTTGGAGGAGGAGACCAGTGAGAGGAGCCCCTCACTTAGGCTTGTTTTCCAGTGTGAGTGGCAACTCAGCACAGAATGGGCACTTAGGAACAAATGAATGAGAGTTTTTCCTGGTATTGCTAGAGGAGAGCTATTGACAAGCCTTTTGGCCACAGATGTGGAAAGAGGACTGCAGATAGTTCACAGCCAGCTATTTTGGTAGGTTCCCACACTAGGAAGAAGCCTCTGACCAAGGAGCAGATCCCATCATGGTGTGGGGGGTGGAGGGGTGGGCACTGACCCAGACTAATACCCCATAGAAAGGGGGACCTGAGATCTTTGACCTGATTTGGCATATCTCTTTATTCCTCCTGAGAAATTGCTAATGTCGTTAAACTGAGTGGCCATAAGCCATGTAGCTGTAGATAGAGGCTTGTCCAGTGTACCACACCATTGTCTCTCCCAGACCAAGGGCTCCTGAGTAGCAGGGTACAGCTCAGGACTGCTCCAGGTCTCAGATGGGTATGAGCATTGGCTATGGAACCCTCCAAACCGGTGGTAGCTGAAACCAAGGATGACTGTTCCACACATTCTGCTCTATTGTCCCCCTGCCACCTGCCATCGGCCTGACTCCTCCCTATTTCCCACTCTTGCTCACAGCCCCATGAACTTGATGGGCACAGGCCGCCATTCATCATCCTCTCTCTCCTCACATGCGTCTAGTGAAGCAGGAAACATGGTGATGCTGGGCGACGGCTCCATGGGCGATGCTCCCGAGGACCTGTACCACCACATGCAGGTACAGAGCTGTCCAGGGAGAGTGGGCCAGGGCACCATGCCTACAGGACTCACCTTGCTGTTGCAATGTCTGATCTGAGGGCTGGCAACCCTGCCTAATTCTCTAGCTCTGAATTCAGAACACCCCTCATCAGAGCTAGAAAGCCACCTTTCCTCCACACACCATCCTAAGTATCAGTTCCCAGGCCTTATTTCCCAAGAAGAAAATCCAGCTTCAGCCCTGGTTGCTTTAAGAGATCCCATGGGAAAGATCCTCTGCCAGAGTGCCCCCTTGCCTGGCATTCCTGTTGGCTTAGTCCTGCTTCCTCCGTGGTCACTGTAGTATGGCCAGCCCAACAACTTTGTTCCATATGGGTGGTATGGGTGGCCCCTAGTGCCCAACCATTAGCCTGGCCTCCATCAGGGCTCAGGGTATAGCATAAGGCACTGGGGCAGAGCACCTCGGGGCATGAAAAAGCCAACTCTGTGCCAGCCCTAAAGTCCTGGCCATTCAGACCTCTATCCTGCTGATTTTTCTCCCTTTGCAGCTTGCGTATCCCAACCCCAGGTACCAGGGCTCGGTCACCAACGTCTCTGTTCTGTCCTCGTCCCAGGCAAGCCCTTCTTCCTCCAGCCTGAGTTCCACTCACTCAGCACCATCTCAGATGATTACCTCTGCCCCTTCCAGTGCCCGAGGTAAGGACGGCAGAGTGCTACTTGCAGAATGGAGAAGAGAGGTCTTCATGAACCCCACTCAGCTTCCCGTTATCTGTGACTGTGTCTTTGAGAGCAGCCCTGTGACTTAGAGAATACTCAGTTGTGCTTTTACCACTAAGGACTCAAGCGTTCCTGCCTCCAGGCCTCTTCTCTGGCTGGCTTTAGACTCCACTCTGAGCAGTGGCTGCTGCTGGCAGCCATTGCATTTCTACCTCAGTGAAAGGACACACAGCTTAGAAGAAAGCTCACTTCTTTCTCATTGAAATTTTTGCTAGAACAAAGATCAAAGTCAAGGCGAAAGTTAGTATTTTGTCTTGAGGAATCAGGCATGATGACAAAGTATGGAAAGTAAATCGGGAGACTAAAATTAACCCTGGAAAATGTTATTCTAAAACAGTAACAGCAACCAAAAAGTTTTTCTTCAGTTGGGAAAGGCTTTCTCAGAAGAGATGGCTCTGTAAAAACCTCTTTACTTTGCCAATTATTACTTGATTTCTAGTTCAGTTGAATAAATATTGTTCTTTGAGAGCCAGCATCTTTTTCACATTCTAATCCTAGTTCCCAAGTGAAAGTTGATTCTGCCCTTGTAGACAGAAACATTTGCTGTGGAATGGAAATTAGCTGTGGTAAATGGGATCTAATGCTTTGCAGGGTAGTGACAGTGGTCTGAACTTGCCAGCCAGTCACTTGCTCTTGCTTCCAGGCTTCAGAAGGAGGGAGTCTCTTTGTTCTTCTCATTATTATGAAACCAAAGAAAAATAGCACAAATTTATTTATTTATTTATTTTTATTATTGTACTTTAAGTTCTGTGGTACATGTGCACATGTGCAGGTTTGTTACATATGTATACGTGTGCCATGCTGGTGTCCTGCGCCCATTAATTCGTCATTTACATTAGGTATATATTCTAATGCTATCCCTTCCCCCTCCTGCCACCCCACAACAGGCCCCAGTGCTGATGTTCCCCACCCTGTGTCCAAGTGTTCTCATTGTTCAATTCCCACCTATGAGGGAGAACATGCGGTGTTTGGTTTTCTGTCCTTGCGATAGTTTGCTCAGAATGGTTTCCAGCTTCATCCATATCCCTACAAAGGACATGAACTCATCCTTTTTTATGGCTGCATAGTATTCCATGGTGCATATGTGCCACATTTTCTTAATCCAGTCTATCATTGATGGACATTTGGGTTGGTTCCAAGTCTTTGCTATTGTGGATAGTGCTGCCATAAACATATGTGTGCATGTGTCTTTATAGCAGCATGATTTATAATCCTTTGGATATATACCTGGTAATGGGATGGCTGGGTCAAATGGTATTTCTAGTTCTAGATCCTTGAGGAATCGCCACACTGTCTTCCACAATGGTTGAACTAGTTTACAGTCCCACCAACAGTATAAAAGTGTTCCTATTTCTCCACATCCTCTCCAGCACCTGTTGTTTCCTG